GTACCAGGAATGTCATCGGGAAAATGCCTCTCATACAGTCGGCTAACTGCAACTGGGTTGGGGTTTTGGGCCACAGCACCTTCTGGATACAAAAAGGCCATGATGATCTCTTTCTGGAATTTTAGGAAGGATCCACTACGTCCAGTTGTTTTGTAAAGCACAAAAACATTATATAGATCTAATTGAAATAAATAACAGACACTCTTTTGTACCAGTGTCTGGCTTTTCGGGAAACTAAGTACGGCTTCATCATCTGGTCGTTGAAGTCCACCCCTCCCATGTTAAGGTTATAATCGTGGACACAGAGGGGCTTCTCAACAACACCAGCCGCCGTGCTAATTTGCATGGCCGTATCTGCTTGAAAGGAAGACAGGACGAAAACATCCTGTTTGTCCTTCCACTTCACTGCAAACAATTCCTTGGGGATCAAATCGTGACACCTGAGCTTTCTTTTGATGGTATTTACTTGCCGCTGGGTGTTTTACTTTTTGCGCTAAAAAAAAAAAGAGCAAAAAATTTGAAGAAAAAAAAAAAAGTTTCTTTGTTTCTATTATACAATTTTGCAAACAGGTAATTTTTCTCCTTCACTGATGTGCGCTGATGAGGCTGCACTGATAGGCAGCACGAATGGGCAACACTAAAGAGGTGGCACTGATGATGGGTACTCATAGGCGGCACTAACTAGCAGCACTGCTGGACTGCACAGATGGGCGGCCCTGATGATCGGTGCCGATCCCTGCGCTGACAGTGTGTGGAAAGCGCAGCCGAGAGCCAGGAATTGATTTCCCGGTGATCAGCGTGTCATTGGACACGGCTGATCACGTGGTAAAAGGCAGCTGTGATTGGCCTTTTACAACATCACGTGATCAGCTGTTTTTTTAGGACACAGTGATCACGGAGATCCCCGGGGGCGTGCAGGAGAGCGTGTTCTGGGAGGACGTCATGACGCCCTCCCAGAACTGGCCGGCCACAGTGCAGCCGTCATTCGGCTATCTGCGGTCGGCAACTAGTTAACCTACTAGCAATTACAGAAACCTGGCTTCAAGCATCAGATTCTGCTCTCCTGCAGCACTTTCCTATGGAGGCCTTCTCTGGACCAACTCACCCAGACCCAGTGGTGGGAAAGGTGGTGGAATTGGTTTGCTTCTATCCCCACTGAGCACCTTTCAAGTCCTCCATAACACTCCCTCTCTATCCTCTTCTTTCGAGACTCACTGCATTCGGCTGTTTTCTCCCATTTCTCTGAGGACGGCAGTGATCTATCGGCTTCCTGGACCGGTGTTTCGCTTTCTTGATGATTGCTCTGCCTGGCTACCCTACTTTCTCTTCTCTGAACTAACCACTATCATTCTTGGAGATTTTACATCCACTATTAATGTGAACAACACGGCTACATCCCAACTCTTCAACCTAACCTCATCTTTTGCCTTAACACAATGGACACATTCCTCCACTCACTCTTGACTGGGAATGCATTAGACCTTGTTTTCTCCCATCGTTGCACTCCCTAAAACCTCACAAACACCCCCTTTCCTCTCTCGGATCACAATATCACCTTCACAGTGTCCTCATCTTCAAACACCTATCCCTCCAAGCAGCAAACAATTACTCGCAGAAACCTTCACAACTTTAACCCTTCTCTTTTCTACTCTGCAACTGACAGCCTCTATGACAGAATCTCTCCCGTGTCCTGGCCACTGCTGTCTACAACAGTTCGCTTTCATCCACATTAGACTCACTTGCTCCTCTAACCACATGAAGCATCAGGCCCCGACCATTACAACCTTGGCAGACTGACGACATCAGACTTCTTAAGCGACATAGTCCTGTGCTGGAGAAAATGTGGCATAAAACCAAATCACACCAAGCTTTCACCCTATATAAATCTGCTTTCTTAACATACAATTGCTCCCTCCATGCTGCCACACAAGCCTACTTTGTCACTCTCATCAATAGCTTGTCATTCAGTCCTCATCTTCTCTTTTCTACTTTTAACTCACTTTCTCCACCTCCAACCTCACAGACTGCTTACGAGATTGCAAATCATTTCAAAAACAAGGTTGATGCAATACGTAGAGCCATCTCCACTGCACAGACATCTATCCCACTTAGTATACCTTATACTAAACCTCCCTCAACACTTTCCTCTTTTGACATTGCTACTACTGAAGAGGTCACTAAGCTTTTCTCAGAAGCCCTTTTAACTACCTGCCCCCTGGATCCTGTCCCCTCACAACTACTACGGTCACTCTCTTCTTCTATCCTATGCTCCCTAACTCACATCTTCAATCTCTCCCTAACGGTGCCTTCCCCACCCCTCTAAAGCATGCATACATCACTCCCATACTAAAAAAACCCTCCATGGACCCCCACCAACATGAACAACTTAAAGACCCATCTCCCTGCTCCCGTTTACCTCTAAACTGTTAGAACGCTTAGTCTACAATCGCCTGAGCTCCTACCTCACTGAAAACCACCTTCTTGACCCTTTACAGTCTGGCTTTCGCTCACTCCACTGAAACTGCCCTACTAAACCTCACTAATCTACTAATTGCTAAAACCAATGGCCACTACTCCATACTCTTACTATTTGACCTTTCTGCAGCTTTTGATACAGTTGACCAACCCCTCCTCCTCCTCAAAAAACTCCACTCTCTTGGCCTCCAAGACTCTGCTCTCTCCTGGTTCTCCCCCTACCTATTGCAGCGCTACTTCAGCGTTACCTATAACTTTGGCCCCTCCTCTCCACGTCCATATAACCGTGAAGTTTCCTTATAATTTGTTAAGAAATCCACGTGCTCGCTCAAAAACTATTCATGTATGCTTTATCCTCCACCATTCAAATCTGTGCTCACCTTCACTTTGCGACCTGCCCTCTTACAGGTCAACTCGCTTGTATCTTTTTATTAGGGTCCTGAAGCAATGTTTCTCCCATGTATGGTCTCTTTCCCAACTAGTGGCTCATACTCTGTCACTCAAATGGATCCTTCAATTTTCTGTACATCTGGCCTTTAAATGCGAGATCTTTGGTCTGCGCTAAAAGCTTCCAAAAAAAAAAAAAAAAGTACTACTGAGTGTAGGCAGAGCCGGGCAACAGGAAGCTTGGGAGTGGAGGTGAGGTGAGCAAAAGCTTCGCTGTCAGCAGTATTTGCACATTGTAGTTTACGTTTTGTAAGTAGACTTTTAATTCAATAAAAAAGATTGCCTTTTATACTACACCATGGGGGCACCTTTTTCTTGTGTAAGCTTTTAGTGCAGACCAAAAGATTGCACATTTAAAAGGCCAGACATACAGAAAATTGAAGGATCCATTTGAGTGACAGAGTATGAGCCACTGGTTGGGAAAGAGACCATAAATGGGAGAACATTGCTTCAGGACCATAATAAAAAGATACAAGCGAGTTGACCTGTAAGAGGGCATGTCGCAAAGTAGAGGTGAGCACGGATTTGAATGGTGGAGGATAAACGCACACATGAATTGTTTTGAGAGCGCACGTGGATTTATTAAGAAATTATAAAGAAAACTGCACAGTTATATGGATGTTCTTATCTCAAGTGTTATATGCACTTTATCTTGAGCACTTTCATTTTCATATTTGTGATTTTCAAGTTTGATTTGTACATAAGGAATCCATGCACTTTACCTTGAGCACCTTTTTACGTAAATTGTTATACATGATATATTTGGTATATATAGGGAATTGTTGACCTATAGACTTATGATTACACCTTGAATCACTAGCATTTTATTATTAATCTTTATTTAGTTTTGTATGGAATATTGGTATCTTTTTAGGGAGGCTCAGCAATGCACTTACTGTAGTAGATTTTAGTTAGGGGTATCAGAGTAAAGGAGGCTAAATACAAATGCACTCCACAGTTTTCAGATATTTATTTGTAAGACAATTTGAAAACCAGTTATTATTTTCCTTCCACTTCACAATTTTTGTGCCACTTTGTTTTGGTATGAACTTCAAAGTAACCCTACATACTTAACCACTTGCCCTCCAGAGGATTTACCCCCTTTTCTGACCAGGCCATTTTTTGCAATATGGCGCTGTGTTACTTCAACTGACTATTGTGCGGTCACGCAACTCTGCACCCAAATGAAAACGTACGTCCTTTTTTCCCCCCACAAATAGAGCTTTCTTTTGGTGGCATTTGATTGCCTGTGCACTATTAAAAAAAAAAAAATATATATATATATATATATATATATATATATATATATATATATATATATTTTTTTTTTATTTTTTATTTTTGACTTTTTGCTAAACCTGAGCCTTACAGAAAAAAAAACAAAAAAAAAAAAAAAAAAAAAACACAAATTTAGGGCAGCTACATGTCTTAGCCAAAAAAAAAAAAAAAAAAAAAAATCTGCATACGTATAAATTAATTGGTTTGCATTAAAGTTATTGCGTTTACAAATGGTGGTATAAATACACAAATTTTTTTTTTACTAGTAATGGCAGCAATCGGCGACATATAGCGGGATTGCGGCAGGCATTCTGACATTCTGAGGGAATTGACTTGGTGTCACTGACATCCCCAGTGACACCAATACTGTGATCAGTGCTAATAAAAAGCACTGGCACTGTACTAATGGCACTGGGCAGGAAGGGGTTAACATCTGGGGTGATCAAAGTGTTAACTTTGCACTGTTTCACTATGGGGGGGTGTAGGTGTGCCCCATTCCCGGAACTGCAAAATCACTATATATACACACACGTGATTTTGCGCATCTGTGCTGCCCTGTAGCAGTATTTCTGCTATAGGGTGGTGTGGAACTGGTTAAGACACTCACCACTGTTTAGCTAAACAACAAAGTTCCACAAAAGTAAAGACCTGCCCTCTTGGGCTTTTGACTGACGCATGGAGTTCATACTGTTTTTTTTTTCCCCTATTAAATCAATGGAAAGGCTAACACCAAGATACTACCTACACTAACAATTCAGATACATTGCAAGTTACTACAAGACAAAATTAAACAGTCTTACCTCATTTGTGATTCTCTCTCGGAAGCAGTCAACCTAGGAAAAAATAACAAACATTACCATAAATCTAAGAATAATAAAATAGGCAGCAATCTACAACCCACTTTCTCCAATTTATAGGTACTTCAAGCGGTAAACTCAAAAGCAAACATTTATTATGCTGCAGCTTGCCAATTCTTAGATGTAATGGCTGTATTAGTAGTTGTGCACCGAAATCAAAAAAAAAAAAAAAACCGCTGATAACCCCTTGCCCAACGATTCAACGGCCAATATACAGTTAGGTCCATATATACAGTTGTGTTCAAAATAATAGTTTGTTGAAAAAAGAATAAAGCTCAAAATTCTTCTAACAGCTTTTATTTCCATACACACAAATGCATTGGGAACACTACACATTCTATTCCAAATCAAAACATGAAGAAAAATATATTGGTGTTGTTCCTCTAAAAAAAAAAAAAAAAAAGTGAATATTAGACTGTTCAAAAAACAGCAAATAGTGTTTGTATTCTTCTTTACAAACTCAAACAGTCACTATATAAACTGAAAAATGTTTGAATATTTTGCTTTCCTTTGAATCACTTAATATTTAGTTGTATAAGCACTGTTTCTGAGAACTGCTGTACATCTGTGTTGCATGGAGTCAACCAACTTATGGCACCTGTGATCAGGTATTCCAGCCCAGGATGATTGGACTACATTCCACAGTTCTTCTCTATTTCTTGGTTTTGCTTCAGAAACTGCATTTTTGATGTCACCCCACAAATTTTCTATTGGATTAAGATCCGGGGATTGGGCTGGCCACTCCATAATGTCAATCTTCTGGTCTGGAACCAAGATGTTGCATGTTTACTGCTGTGTTTGGGGTCGTTGTCTTGTTGGAACACCCATTTCAAGGGCATTTCCTCTTCAGCACAAGGCAGCATGACCTCTTCAAGTATTCTGATGTATTCAAACTGATTCATGATCCCTGGTATGCGATAAATAGGCCCAACACCGTAGGTATGAGAAACATCCCCATATCATGATGCTTGCGCAACCATGCTTCACTGTCTTCAGTGTACTGTGGCTTGAATTCAGTGTTTGGGGGTCATCTGACAAACTGTCTCCGGCCACTAGACCCAAAAAGAACAATCTTACTTTCATCAGTCCACAAAATGTTGTGCCATTTCTCTTTAGGCCAGTCAATGTGCTCTTTGGCAAATTGTAACCTTTTCAGCACGTCTTTTTTTTTCCAACAGTGGGACTTTGCGGGGGCTTCTTGCAGATAGCTTGGCTTCACATAGGCATCTTCTAATTGTACCAGTACTCACAGGTAACTTTAGACCTTCTTTGATCTTCCTGCAGCTGATTGTTGGCTGAGTCCTTGCCATTTTGGCTATTCTTCTATCCATTTGAATGGTAGTTTTTCACTATCTTTCAGGTTTTGGTTGCCATTTTAAAGCATTTGCAATCATTTTAGCTGAGCAGCCTATCATTTTCTGCACTTCTTTATATGTTTTCCCCTCTTCAATCAACGTTTTTAATCAAGGTACGCTGTTCTTCTGAACAATGTCTGGAACGACCCATTTTCCTCAGAATTTCAGAGAGAGAAATGCACTGTAACCAGCATGTACAACATTTGCTGCCTTCCTTAAATAAGGGCAATAATTACCACCTGTTTTTCAAAGAATGAATGACCTCACTAATAGAACTCCACACTGCTATTATTTTGAACAGTGGGATTCAATTAGTGATTCAATTACACAGAATCAGCAGCATGCATGTCATGACTGTTGGGTCTGTTGGATTTCTATTACTCTACTACACCTGCTAGTAAATTATTTGCCATGTAGAAATATCATTTCTACCAAAAACAGTGAATGATCAGGTTAGTGATGTCTGATGTTGGATACAGGCACAATTTTAGATTTTTTCCAGGTATTTATCAAAACATATTCCAGCTATAGGTTATATAATGGATGTGGACTGAAAGTGCACACTCAAGTTTATTTTAAGGGCATGTATAGTATCTCACAGAAGTGAGTACACCCCTCACATTTTTGTAAATATTTTATTATATCTTTTCATATGACAAACACTGCAGAAATGACACTTTGCTACAATGAAAAATAGTGAGTGTACAGCTTACATAACAGGGTAAATTTGCTGTCCCCTCAAAATAACTCAACACACAGCCATTCGTGTCTTAACCACTGGCAACAAAAGTGAGTACACCCCTAAGTGAATGTCCATATTGGGCCCAATTAGCCATTCTCCCTCCCCGATGCCATGTGACTTGTTAGTGTTACAAGGTCTCAGCTGTGAATGGGAAGAGAAGGGGTGTTAAATTTGGTGTTATCACTCTCACGCTCTCATACTGGTCACTCGAAGTTCAACATGGCACCTCATGGCAAAGAACTCTCTGAGGATTTGAAAAAAAGAATTGTTGCTCTACATAAAGATGGCCTAGGCGAGAAGAAGATTTCCAAGACCCTGAAACTGAGCTGCAGCACGGTGGCCAAGACCATACAGCGGTTTAACAGGACAGGTTCCATCATGGTTGACCAAAGAAGTTGAGTGCATGTGCTCAGCGTCATATCCAAAAGGTTGTCTTTGGGAAATAGACATACGAATGCTGCCAGCATTGCTGCAGAGCTTGAAGGGGGGGGGTGTCAGCCCGTCAGTGCTCAGACCATATGCCGCACACTGCATCAAATTGGTCGGCATAACTGTAGTCCCAGAAGGAAGCCTCTTTTAAAGAGGATACACAAAGCCCGCAAACAGTTTGAAGACAAGCAGACTAAGGACATGGATTACTGGAACCATGTCCTGTGGTCTGATGACCAAGATAAACTTATTTGGTTCAGATGGTGTCAAGCGTGTGTGGCGCAACCAGGTGAGGAGTACAAAGACAAGTGTCTTGCCTACAGTCAAGCATGGTGGTGGGAGTGTCATGGTCTGGGGCTGCATGAGTGCTGCTGCCACTAGGGAGCTACAGTTCATTGAGGGAACCATGAATGCCAACATGTCCTGTGACATACTGAAGCAGAGCATGATCCCCTTCCTTTGGAGACTGGGCCGCAGGGCAGTATTCCAACATGATAACCCCAAACACTCCTCCAAGATGACCACTGCCTTGCTAAAGAAGCTGATGGTAAAGGTGATGGACTGGCCAATCATGTCTCCAGACCTAAACCCTATTGTGCATCTGTGGGGCATCCTCAAACGGAAGGTGGAGGAGTGCAAGGTCTCTAACATCCACCAGCTCCGTGATATCGTCATGGAGGAGTGGAAGAGGACTCCAGTGGCAACCTCTGAAGCTCTGGTGAACTCCATGCTCAAGGGGTTAAGGCAATGCTGGAAAATAATGGCAGACACACAAAATATTACACTTTGGGCCCAGTTTGGACATTTTCACCTAGGGGTGTACTCACATTTGTTGCCAGTTTAGACATTAATGGCTATGTGTTGTGTTATTTTGTGGGGGACAGCAAACTTGCACTGTTATACAAGCTGTACACTCACTACTTTACATTGTAGCAAAGTGTCATTTATTCAGTGTTGTCACACGAAAAGATATAAAATATTTACAAAAATATGAGGGTGTACTCACTTCTGTGAGATAAAGTAAATCCAAATTGGAGGAAGGGTTTAGGAATTACAGCTCTTAAGAGTAGCCATCTCCCCTTTTTCAAGGAACCAAAAGTAATGGAAAAAACGATTATAATCATAAATAAAATGTTCATGTTTAATATTTTGTTGAGAATCATTTACTGGCAATGACTGCCTGAAGTCTGGAAACCATGGACATTACCAAAGACTGGGTTTCCTCCTGATGCTTTGCCAGGCTCTAACTGCAGCTGTTTTCAGTTGTTCTTTGTTTGTGGGTCATTCTGCCTTTAGTTTTGCCTTCAGCAAGTGAAATACATGCTTAATTAGGTTGAGATCAGGTGATTGACTGTCAATGCAGAATATTCCACTTCTTTTCCTGCAAAAGCTCCTGGGTTGCTTTTGCAGTGTGTTTTGGATCATTGTCCATCTGTACTGTGAAGCGCCATCCAATCAACTTTTGTGCATTTGGTTGAATCTGCGCTGACCGTATATCTCTAAACACTGCAGAAATCATCTGGCTGCTTCTGTCACATAATCAATAAACTCCAATGAGCCAATGCCACTGGAAGCCATGCATGTCCATGCAATCACACTGCTTCCACCATGTTTTATAGATGACGTTGTGTGCTTTGGATCATAAGCTGTTCCAAGCTTTCTCCACTTTTTTTTCTTCCAGTTATTCTGGTACAGACTTATCTTAGTTTCATCCATCCAAAGAATACTTTTCCAGAACTGGTCTGGCTGTTTTTTGGCCAAGTCTAATCTGGCTTTTATATTCTGCAGGCTTATGAATGGTTTGCACCTTGTGGTGAACCCTCTGTATTTGCTCTTGTGAAGTCTTCTCTCGATTGTAGATTTTGACAATGATATGCGCACCTCCTGGAGAGTGTCTTTCACTTGTCTGGATGTTGTCAATGGTTTTTATTCTTTTACCATAGAGAGAATCCTGTGATCATCTACCACTGTTGTCTTCCGTGGACATCCATGCCTTTTTATGTTGCTGAGCTCACCAGTGCATTCTTGTTTCCTCAGAATGTACCAAACTGTTGATTTGGCCACTCCTAATGTTGCGGCTATCTCTCTAATAGATTCGCTTCATTTTTGAAGCCTTACAATGGTCTGTTTTACTTGCAGGGACAGCTTCTTTGAATGCATGATGTAGGTTCACAGCAATAGATTCCAAAGGCAAATACCACACTTAGAATCAACTCCAGACCTTTTACCTACGAAACTGATAAAGAAATAACGGAGCAGTAGCCCACACCTGGATATGAAACAGCTTTTGGTCCCTTGAAAAAGGGGGGATGGCTGCTCTTAAGAGCTGTAATTCCTAAACCCTTCCTCCAATTTGGATGTACATACCCTCAAATTAAACCTGAGAGTGTGCACTTTCAGCCCATATCCATTATATAACTATAGCTTGAATATTTTTTGGTAAATATCTG